GAACATTTGTGTAAGAGAATAAAAGTTTTTAAAAGGCAAGGTCCAAATTATTTTCACAAGTCTGAGTTGTTTGTTATTGATCAACTAATTATGATGTGGTTTGTAACTTACTATTTAAAATAAAACGATTAAACAACAGCCCGTCTAGCTCAGTTGGTAGAGCGCAAGGCTCTTACCTTGTGTCGTGGGTTCGAGCCCCACGGTGGGCGTTAGTTTTTTTAGTAATTCAATTTTGTTAATAAACTTCAATAGTTACCAAGCTTCCAACACACACTTTAAGTTTAGTGCATGGTGGAGTTTTCTTTACAAACTAACTCGTACAAGAACAAGGATAAAAAGCAAAAACATAAAAGTACTTAAACTAAAAACAGCCTATATCAACAACTTACTTCTAATCCCAAATATATGGCCGAATCTTGCATCATAAACTCAGTTGAAAGCTATCCCTAGTTGCTATGACACAGGTAAATGTCATCTTAAACATTCACATCCTACCTAAATCACTTCTTTTGGGTGATCATGAGACAAATGAACGCCACAATTCGGGCAAACTATACCACTAAAAAATGAGAACAGCTAGACATATAGGCCCAATCATTGACGTTATAACTGCTATTCATCAGTGAACTACAACGAGTTATCAACCACACCCCAGTGTACCTGAAGAAAAAATAGAAATTCTAATGGTATTAGATGGCAAGATTAGTAAAATGTGATTATGCCATAACATGAACAATGTGTTTTCAAGCATATGGACAACACACCCTTTCAGCATTTGCAATAATAAAGGCCTCCAAAGCCCAATTTGGGTAACACATTTTTATAAGGATTTTCATAGAGAGAGTATCTCTTTTCTGGTTTGAAATGAGAGTCATAACAACAGGGAGAAAGCACTGACCACTACAAGAGAAGATTGAGAGTTATTATGGATAATTCCATGTAAGAAAAATGGAAGTATAAATTGATGTGATTCGTACCAGCTGAGCAGGAGCAGGCTCGAAATAAATTGCTAATGCATAAGCCATGCCAGTTACACAATACACAAGGCACACCAAAACCGCGTAATTACTTCCGAAGCTTGACCTTGGATTGCTAAAGAAGTAGAACATGGATAGGGTAAACAAGAGGTTTGGACTAAGTACTGAAAAGATCATATGTATCTTTGATAAAAAATGAGCTAGACTACTAATCCCTGATGCACTCTCCCTCCAGTATTGTAATTTATCCATAGAAAATGATCTCAAAGCTGCAATCCTTGCAAGTAGAGCTGCATATATACAATATAAATAAGCGAAAGAGTTGGAGTTGGTGAAAAAGGAGAGTAATTCTATAGGGGGTTTAAAAACTTACAAACAGCAATGACAGTATATGTATATCCAAGAGACCCAAATGTTTCATCATTTACTTTGGTAAGAGTTCCTAATATAGCACCAGCAACTAAATAAAAGGAGATAATCAACTGCTTGTGCCTTGCTTCTCGAAGCTGCTGCTTACCAACCCTGGGAGGAATGGAGCAGGTTATTAATAAATAGTCAATATTAAATCATAGATTAGTATGAAGGGTTTCTTACGCCCAACGTAGTATCTATACTGGGCGACTTATACCAGGCGTTCTTTCGGTTTGATAAATCCTTAGTCGTTAAGAAGGTTGCCTCTATTTGATCTTTTTGCAACTGCACGTTACTTTTCATATCCTCCCAGAACTCTCCAGCAAATGATTGATCAGTAGCCTCGTCGGTAGTCTTAGTTGCATGATTTATATTTGTGGAAGATGATGAAGCAGAAATTTCATCAGCAAAATGATGCATATCTGGTGGTACTGGGGTAACCGTTATGAAGCATCCATCTCACAGGTAGTTGTTGGATGAGTCCACACCTTCATTTGGTTTCACTAAACCTTCCAAAATGTCAATATAATGGTCTGGAGGATTCACACGATCAGGAACAACGATTCCAATGCCAGCGAAGTATTCCTTCTACTTTTTTTACAGGTCCGTGAAATGCAGTAAGACCACCTTTTGCTAGAAATATTATATCATCAAACGTTCTGAACAAAGTATAGCTGTATAACAACAAAATCAAAAGTGAGATTTTTAACTTTATGTTAGGAGAGAGGGAGAGAGGGGGGGATAACATTACCTTGGTTGGTGAAGTACCATGCAGACGTTTACCCCTTCAGCAGCTTCACGACGAAGTGCTTTCAGCAGTAAAGAGGAAGATGCACTGTCCAAAACCAGTTGTAGGCTCATCTAAGATTAACAATGAAGGCTCCATAACCATCTCCAACCCTACATTTACACGTATTTCGTTGCCCACCAGATATGCCTCGCTTCTCTACTGTTCCAACAAGGGAATCTCTTATTCCCTGAAGTCCCAAGGTTTCAATTACTCTTTCAACAATCAGAACCTTTATCTGGTTTTGGCAGGTCATCAGATAGTCTCCAGTAATAAGAAACAGACATTTAAAATGAAATAACAATTAGAAAGAAGGTAACAATTAGAGAAGTAAAGTAATAGAAGCAGATGGTAATAAGGAAACCTCTTTATTGAGCATTCAAAATAAAAATGTACAAATTAAGTTCTGCATAGAAAGTGGGCTACCTGCATCTTGCACTGAAACGAAGATTTTCCTCCACTGTCAAGTTCCCATGCACAATATCATCTTGCGGCACATATCCAATTAATTTCTGGTAACAGTGAATGGATTCAGGTTTTCCATTGATTAGAATTGAGCCTGTCATAGTGCACTCCTCTTATTTTCCCTGCCAGAGCAGACAGAAATGTAGTTTTTCCAGCTCCTGAAGGACCCATCACAGCTGAAACTCGACCAGGCATGATTTTACCGTCACACACCTCATTACATGTTTTTTTTTCCCTTTCAAAGTAAGGGTTAAATCTTTGAAAGCTACCTCGATCTCAGGCCTCGATCTACCCTCCTCACCATCGGCGGCCATTGAAATCACTCCTGAGAAGGTCAAGTTATTTTTGTCTTGTTGAGCTTTCTCCTTCTCAATCTGACCATAAGCATACCTTAAAATATGGCTCTGTGTATGTAAGTTTTTTCCCTTAGGCAATTGTTTTTTAATATTTTTGTCCCCAATCTTTAGATTGAATCCTTCATTACTATTAGGGTCATTCTCAAGGGAATTCATCATTTTAGTAAGGTTACTAGGTTCCTTTGTGGCTGCAGATGGTTGTTCTGGTGGCATAGGTGGCAAAACTGGATTGCCTGTAGCAGGATTAACTTGCTCTCCTTGCTTTGTTGATTTTCTGCGAGAAAAAGTGCGCACTAGCTGATCTTGCAATCCTGTCTTATTCCTTTTAGTAGCATCTTTTGCTATCTTCCACCTTTCTCGAGCTTGTACAGTTTCTCTTACCTGTCTTGCTGCTGCCTCTCTGGATTTTAGCTTTCCTTCTTTCTCGAGTAGCTAGAACTTGATCAGAACAGTTATAAATGAAGATCAAGACAGTACTCAATGCAACCTACAAGGGGAAATTAATGATGCCAAATATGATAAACTAGAAAAGAAAAAAAAAAAGGAATGCTTTGGAAAAATATTTAAAAGTATTGCATGCCTTTTCACAAAATATGCAAAAATAATAACATCAAGTAAACTTTGGGACAATTTTATGCTGATCTTCTACCATGTTTCTTCAAACTATGGGATAAGACACCCGTGTTTGGGCACAGAAGAGAAAGGAACAAAAGAATTGATAATATGTTTGTAAGACAAACCACACAATCTATGCAGTCAATCAAACCATCAAGAATGATAATTCAAAAAACAAATTACAATAAAAACTCTGATAGAGCGTGAAACGAAAAAGTAAAGTTGAATGGGAGTTTTCCAAATTGTCTACCAATGAAGAAAAACTAAAGAGAAAAAGGATCCAAAGCATGCATGAAGTCATCCAATGTCACGTCGAATTCTACTTACAATAAGCAGAGCGCCATAAGCATGCATATTTTGGGTCGTTGTGTTTGGATTACATTGGCTGAACTTGGAGCATGCTGCAAAAATAAACAACACAAACTAAGCTTCTGAATAATATCCTCTAGAGAGTGTAAATGATACATGAAAATTAAATTCAGTTGTGGATAAAAAAAAATTTTGTTTGCGTCTAGCTCATTTTATCATGTCAAGTGTCAACTATGCTGTAAATTTTTATGGTAAGTTGTGCAGTAAATGATAGATCCTAAAATGTTACAAATTTATCAAGCACAGACTAGGGATGCAATAAAATAGACTTCCGATTCTTTTGTCGAAAAAAAAAAAAAGACTTACGATTCTGATGAGTAGAGCCCATCCTGCAGTAATATCTGAAATTGGAAAGGCATAATGAGTTAGAAAGTTGAGAAATTGGTAAGAGTTTGGCTGTGATGAACATGAAAAGTAGTAGTTGCGTTAATAATGAATTTTTAGAGAACATTATCTTGTGAGAAAATAACTTTAGAGAATTTAGGCAGCACCAAAAGGAGGAATGGGCTAAATCAATACCCACGATCACAAGAAACTTTACGTGTTGTAGTTGGGCAGTATGATCCGGGAGAACAGAATATGTCACTATTGTTCACCACACCAGTCCAAATATCAGCACTGCCGCAAGTATGTTTTGTTTCTCCCTGAGGTATCTGGTAACTATATCTGCAAATTTGTTTTTACGTTTTAGGGATGAAACTTAGACAACAATGGTAAGAGTTAACAGCAAGGGGGAGCTTACGGGTCACATAGTCCAGTCTCATTGTTCAGTTTTGCAACTGGGCAATAAGAACCTAGCGGGCAAGCTTCATTCATAGGAAAATGAGAAATGTTAATACTGTAATACTCGAGCTGCAAATTTTCATCCACAAATAGATAATTCGAGACATTAAATGAAGTAAAAGTTTCTTTCGGTAGAATATGGAATTCAAAATGATAACTAACAAAGAGGGAAAAAATGCATGCATGTTTATATACTTACGTATCATACAAGTCAATCCTTGAGGACAGAAAAAACCCTCACAACAAGGTTTACAGTTTTTGGTTCTATTTGGAATTTCCTTTGTGTCCTTTCTTAGGTCAATATTATTGCCCGTACTACAACCCCATCCAGGTTCACAACCAGAAACCCATGAGGTCAAATTGCAATTCTTGTTAGGTTTTACATAGTTGTCTGTAGCTGCTCCCTGTGCCACGAAACCATGGAAGTAGTACCTTATTTCAGCTGCAGTACATATACGATCCCTGAAATCTCCTGTCAACTAAATCACATTATATTTACGAAATAGTATAAAATGAATGACATAAATTTTGTACAACACAGTGGATAAAAAAAAGTATCAAAAAAGTATAAAAAAATGTGAATATGATATAAAGGCTCATACCTTTTTTCTTAACACAAGAATCAACAAAGTCCAACCTTCCCGTAAAATCAAAAGCTTCTTCCCAATCTTTTTTCCTGAAAGAAAGTAAAAAGTATGATGAACAAAAAAACATACGGTAGTTGAAAATATATGAATCAAGGCTTTTATAGAAAGGTGAATGAAGTAAAGAAAATAACAAAACAATGAAATAAAACTCACGGGTCTTTAATGCAGAAATCTAAACTTGATTTAATATCCTTATTCAAAAGAATAGCGATATTCTGAAGTTCCTTGTAGATTTCACCGGTGTAAAAGGAAGGTGCAAAAGTTCCTTCGGCACAATGAACCCTCGGTAAGAAAGCGAAAGAGAATAGGAAAAAGATAGCAATGTAGAAAACATGATTCCTCATTTTTCATAATTTGTGAAGAATAGTATAGCATGCCATGAAGATGAAGAGTTGGAGCGGAAAGGTTTGTGGAAAAAGTGGTTTTTGGATGAAGAAATGGCGGGGAGAAATGGATGCCTAGATTCAAGGATTTGCATTCTTTTTTGATTGCTTGCTTTTCAACCTTGGAGCTATGTAAGTGATGGTTTCGAGGGACACTTGGCTAAACTTTCAAACAGAAACTAATATACTTTTTATTATGAGGTTAGTCTTATGTTCCACGGGTATTGTTAATAATCATTTGAAATGTTTCATGTGGAATATATAATATAAATATTAAGAATTCTTTTGACTGTGTTTTTGACTATGTTTTTGACTATGTTCTAAGGATAGAGTCAACTCAACTTGTCCTTTAAAAAGTGATATTTCTCCTTCTCTCTATAACTCTTTTTTAATACATCTAGAACTCTTCTTTCTCTTTAAGATTTGGTGACTTCCTTCCACATGATGGTCCTCTTCTTCCACCCTTTATAGTAGTAGCCATCCCCCGTCACATGATTGTTATATTATAGTAAGTCGGGTGACATCTGACGTGATACATGTTTGTAGGCGTGACACGTAGGGGTGGAAATAGGTCAGGCTAGACCTAGATTTTTTTATAAATCTATTTAGTTAAAAAATGTTAGGCCTCAAGTCATGAAAAAAGTCTTTTAGGCCTAACCTATATAAATAAATATGAATAATTTTTTATTATCATTATGTTATATTTTGTACTTTGAATAAAAATCTATTATCAATCTATTAAAAGTAAAGTACCATTAACTTACCATAATATCCTAATTAGTAAATTTCAATTTAGTCTTAATCTAAGGGTATATTTGTAACTTTCTGAAATACTTGCACCATATTGATTTGACAATAAATATGGCTGATGTGTCACACAATGGTTTTTTCTGCCATTTTTTACTTTTTTTAATTATTTCTAACTAACAACAATTATGCCATTTTGTTTATATTTACACGTTATAATCACACCTAATTATGTGCTACATACCACTTCCCAAAACCCTCATCCAAACCAAAGGTCATTCAATTTGAAATTTAAATTAAAACACTCATATTATAGCTGCTACGTACACTGGGTTTTGAAATTTTAATTATTCCACTAAACCCTAATCACGTTTTTTATTGCAAGATTTAAATTGACAGCACAAGATGAACAACCATCATAAATGTTGAGTTCTTGAAACGGTAAATCTATACAACCAAAAAAATCGTTTTTCCCAAGATGCAACAAATAACTCATTCACCCAACTCTATTAAAACACAAATCAGAAAACCTAATTTCATCTTCTTACCTAATTTCATCTTCTTCCTGCGCCGCTCCATCTCTTTTCATTCTTCTCTCTTTGTTGCTACCAATTTCGTTTCGTTGTAATCTCAACCATCTAATATTCTCATCCTAACCTGTTAATTTATTTGTTTCAGACGTTCAAGCGTAAGAATGGTGGTCGCAACCAAGACCTCTGAATCTCAACAACATTAATAACCAACAACATCCGTTATAGATCTATAAAAGAATTTCCTTCAAATGCAATTTTTAACGTTAATTTGATTCATACATATGTAAGTGACGAAGGTGAGTGATTGAAACATGTGATTGAAAGTTGAAACTGAAATGTAGTTTGGAATATCATATTTTATGTTGTATTCTTTTCGTTTTCAGGGTTGTCTTACTATTTCTCCTTTTCCAAAAAAAAAAAAAAGTTTAACTTGACACCTAAAATGGGATATCTTTATCTTTAGGTTTGAGAGTTGCAGAAGGGGATTTTTGAGCTTGCATGTGACGAACAACACAACCATGATATTGTTTATTTTTTGCTGTTAGGTATGTTTTTTTTTATTCAGATTTTATTTCTCAATTTTTTTAATTTTTTAAATTAAAATATGTGGTTGAGTTTTGGCTTTTTTTATTTGTTTAGTCTTGGTGAATACAAAGCTCACACATATATATTTACGATTGATTCTCCAAATAGATAGAAGCTTATTTCTTTTGCTTCCTCTTTCAATTTATTATTAATCTATTTAAATTTCAATTTCTCCCATCACATGTTTGATAAAAGAAGGCATTATATTCTCATCAATTTTGTTGTTTATTTTGCTTACTATTATATTTATTTGTATCTAATTGAGATTTTTGTATTTATTTTCTTGATTTAATCGGTTCTTCTTTTGGAATATGTATGGATATGGAGGCTGATAATTGATTTCACACTTAAATCAGTAGGGGACCAATCAATAAATTGAATAACAGATTGTTTCACAGTTTAATTTTTATACATTGATACAGATTGTTTCACAGTTTAATTTTTATACATTGATACGTAAAATGAAATTATGCTGATTGCGATTTGATTTTGTCATGTGAAAATAGGTTTAATATAGTCACAATCTGTCTTAACAAGGAATTATCAAACTTTACCTCATGGTCGATTCAAGCATTTGTTTTCGAGGTTGAAGATAGAGAGAGGATTAGTGGTTCGGCTTATGGGGGTCAACAGGACATCTGTTGCACCAATGATCTTCCTAAACTCACTGTGTGCAATGATGGACCGACCTTCTCCCATGAATTCAAATTGGCCTGAAGTTTATGGCGTGGCTTTTTATCATGCCCAAGAAATAAACAGTTTGTTTTTAGTTTTAATGCTTTATAATATTATTGTTTGCAGAGTTGTCTTAGCATTTTAAGTGCCAATATTCACCATGGTCATGGCTGAGTGACCATTTGCTTCTCTAATTTCACAAACAAAAATATTGCTAAAGAAGAATTGGAGACTACCACAACAGAACTAGAGACCACTATTTTAAATCTACTTAATCGAGTCGATTTTCACATGTGATTCATCATCAAAGCCAAGTGTTAACTTATATTTTCATTCAAGTTATTTGATAGTTAACCTTATAATTGTAAATATATGTTCAATATGATGCATATGATTTGATTTCCCGAGCATTTGATTTCCATCTACAGCCGTAATTGAAGATTAGGAAATTGAAACCATTGAATTTTATGCTTCCACAAGGAATATCAATGGCTTTCATTGGCAGGTACTGATTATATACTAATTGTATTTTCTAAAGTAATATGTTTTTAAGGGTTCAAGAGTAGCGGGTGTTGCTGAAGTTCACTACCAATTTCAGAAGAACCATAAGCAAGGCAATAATTATCTAAGATGTATAAGATGATAAAACCAACGTTGATATGCGATCATTTTCTGGTTCTATAGAAGAATGTTTTTAACCAGATTTGATTCAAATTATGTATATGTATATTATTATTGCTTTCATATTTTGTTTGTCATATCAACATTGGTTTTGGCATAATATATTTTTCTACTGCAAATTATGTTGGCCTATGTTTTATTCTTTTGAATGTAGCATTGCCGAATTTCTCTTCTCCTTCTCTTCTCCTAAAGAGAAGATAATAACCTACAAGTTGGTGTTGATGTGTCTTCAAAATTCTAATTTATTTTGAATCGAAATTATAATTCTCATTTGTCATGAAATTTGAATAAATTTTTTATTTTGTATTGATATTTTTTTATTTTTAATTGCTATAATTTTAGAAACAAATATTACAATTTTTAATAAAATATTTAAGATTTATTTTTTTAAAGTACGACTAATTAATACATTTTTATACAATATTAAAAACAAATATTACAATTTTTTAATCAAATATTGGAGTACATTTAATTCGATACTTTACCAATATATCTTTTGAATGCAGACATTATTATCATTTATTTTTATTATACTTATATGGAAATTATTTTGAATGGTGACATAAATATATTTAATTTTTATATATGATTTGATTTCATAAAATATTATGATCAATAAAATTTGAATTCTCTTTTAATATTATAGGTTTGATACTGTTTCATATTGTAGGAATATTATATACATTAGAATATATAAAGATATGAAAAAAATTAAATCAAAACTTTACAAATATATCTTTTGAATGGAGGTATTAATATTATTTATTTTTATTATATATAGAAAATATTTTGAATGGTCACATTAATACATTTTATTTTTATGCATGGTTTGATTTCAAAAATTTATGATCAATAAATTTTGAATGGAATTATAATTTAACCAATAAAATTTTCTACCGACTTCTAAATATATTTGTGTATATTTTTTGAAAGGTTACATTTATATTCTTGAAAAAAATAACGTAGTTTAAAGGATGTATTGTTAACTATAAATATATTGTTAATAAAATTAACAAAAAAATATATTATAAATATATAAAAGATAAAGTAAATAAGAACTCTAATGTTTATGACATACCAGATAATTGAAGTTAAAGAATTGAATGTACTGTTTTGAATGACAATTAAGTTATATTTTTAAATACAAATTAGAAAATAAATTCATCTAAAATAAATTTCATTCATTAAATAAATATAGAAAATAATATACAATAGTTTTATCTATAAATTTTATTTATTTTTTATGTTCTTTTTAAAAATAATTGTAATTTAATGGGAAACTGTTATACATTATAGGTTGTAAAAAAATATGTAAATATGATATAATATAAAAGTTTTAAAACTGAAATTTGACGGGAGATGTCATACATTTTTAATTTGAAAAAATGGATTAATATATAAAATATGTTTAATAAATTTTTAAAATTAATTCATTTGGATTCAACTGAAGTTCGTTAACTCACGTAGATGTGAGCACATATAATATAAAAGTATAAATTTGACGGGAGTTGTCATATATTTTAGGTTTGGAAAAATGGGTTGATATCTAAAATAGATTTAATAAATTTTTAGAACTAATTCATTTGGATTCAATTGGGTTTGTTAAATCATCTTAATTCACGGGTAGATGAGAACGCATATATGAAATACTGGCTATAAATTGTTAATTTTAATATTCATCTTTTAAATCTTATATAATTGAAGTTAGTGAATAGTCTGTATGATTTATTATAAATACAT